CATGGTATCGATATCGGCCGATATTAGCGATAAAGTTAAATATCGGACCGGACATCAGCCATTCCATCGAAATAACTTACCGATATAAAAGGTACTGTTTATATATATATATATATATATATATATATATAAATATAAATTTGACATTAAACACAGTCCAAGTTGAAGTGTTGCATCATCTTCAGACCCTTTTTGGCATCTGCATTTGGTAGCAGCCAAATTGACAAAGACCATGCAGAATAATGTAATATTTTAATTCCACAGCAGAGAAAGCTCTGTAGACTCTGTAAGTACGTCTAGAAAAAGAAATATTGATATTGGTATCAGTTATCAGTAATCGGCCAAATAAGTTTTATCATATCAGCATGTCGTATATCGGCCAAAAATCCAAAATCACGCATCCCTAACTGATATGCAGTTTTAAATGCAGGTCCACGCTTAATATAAACAAAGCACACAGCTGAATCCTCCAAAAACCAGGCAGAAGCTCGAGTCACGTGATTTACCGTATTTATTTCTATTAGTCTGTGCAGGTAAACACATATGACAGAATTGGACACGTGTAGAGTCAAAGAGCTTGAAGGTCGAAATATGAGTCAAATCTGCTGTAAATTATAGGACAGGACAGTAAATTTCAACCTAAAATATTAAAAATGCAGCATTTCTTGATGTGCTTGAACCAATTAGTCTCATCTGTTATAATTTCCAGAAAGAAAAACAAGTTAATTATACTTTATTTTCAAGTCTGTTTCAGTTTAGATTGTTTAAAAATGTAACTGCCAACTTTACTTGACAAATCTGAGCTTAAATACAAACCGGTACATCCAACTTGTTGAACTTCTTGATCCTGAACTGCTCTTCAGTGGACGTTGCCATTGTTGGTCCATTTTTTAGCCACTTCAGCTGTTTCCGTAGTTTAACAATCGCACATGGCAGTCGGCAGCCTTTCACAAATTATGCTTGCAAATTTTTCATTTAAAGAGATATTAACAATCAAAGTAAGAAAACAAGTGCAGATTTGACGACGTTGCAACAAAAGTACCTTTGAATATGAGATAAGTTGTGTAAAACTTTACACTTGCAGTGTACAAAACTTAGCTTCACCATTCATATTTTACACTATCCAAAGACATCAAAGCTTTTGTTGTATAGAGAGCTCAAATGTACGTTTATTACAATTAAGAAGAAATAAGACCAAATTATATTATCTGCCGGAGTAGCTAATTTGTTGAGCATTAATTTATCTGTACTAGCGTTCATCATACTAGTCTGAGGTTATTATTTTCCATTGCATTGCAAACTGCAGGTGTATAGAAGTAGTTTGCAGCCATGGGGCTTTTGGTGTTTGATCGGGATTAGTGTGAAGCCGGTGCAGACTCATAACCACCAAGTCGTGGACATTCTGAAGTTCAAGCAGCAAACCAGACCTGCCTGTTTCCTTTTTGAATTCTAACTGATGTCTCCTTTGTTCTTTTTATCACAACTTGTCTGCAATAGCTCTTACATTTTGCACCAATTGTAATTATTGTTCTTTTCTTTGCTTTGTTTTTTGTTTGTCCCATCATGTATGAAGATGAATTATCAGGTTAGTCAGGCATTATACACATTTGACATATACACGTGGTGGTTGTGAGTTTCTTTCATGAAGTCGAGCTATTCTCGAGTTATTTATCACTTCTCTCTGATCATTTAAGTAAGACGGGGTTCTGTGCCACTTACAGATGAATTCTCAGCCAGCTTTTAAAACTCTGAGTATTCTTGGAAACATCTTATGATGAAAGCCTTCATTTAGATGTTACATACCACGAAGCACAATGTGTGGATCAGAACTGCCACTTGGAAAATGTGCCTCAGGGTTTAGAAGAAGTACTTTGATAGTTATTTTTTATCCACTAAAGTTCTTCTGTCTCAACCTCCTCTCCATTTGAACCTCTCTTTTAGGCGTGTTGTTCCTGCAGTATGGAGATGAGACGCGTCGGGTTCACATCACCCATGAGCTGAGCAGCATGGACACGCTGCATGCTCTTATTGTGCACATGTTTCCTCAGAAGTTGACAGCGGGGATGCTGAAGTCGCCCAACACGGCAATCCTGATCAAAGACGAGGCCCGGAACGTCTTCTACGAGCTGGAAGACGTCCGGGACATTCAGGACCGCAGCATCATTAAGATTTACCGCAAAGAACCCATTTATGCTTCTTACCCTGCTGCTGCACATCTGGCTAACGGTGACCTAAGGGTGAGCAGAGGGGAGCTGGGGAGCAAAAACATCAAACTGGCTTACTAGTATCTGATTTCCAGCTGATTTGATATCTAATAGCTGCTATGATGTTGTATAGATGGAAGATTTTCATTTTTCTTTGACAAAGATTCTGCCTCTTTTTTTGGCATTGGGAACTTTGCACACTACAACTGTGCATCGGGGTTGGTACTGTAACAGGTTTTCCCTTTGGAAATGTATTTTTCTCATCTTCAAGGAGGCCATCTGTTGCTGTGAAGACGGCAAAGAATGATGTTCCTCTGGAAAATGAGCACATTTTAGCATTTAAAGCTATTTCTGCTTCAGTAAAGATCAAGGAAGCCTGAGGGGGATGTTTTTTTAATTATTTGATACCAAACCCTGCAAACCATCTGCATTATTCACACATAACTGGGAATACAACTGCTGATAACTATGCAAGGCAGACAGTAAAAACTGTGCATGTGTATAAGCTGTGTGCACGTACTGTTTAGTTTTTTTGTTTAGGCACATTTGTGTTTATAACTTTATTTGCTACAAACAGATAAAAATGTAAAGCAGTGGTTCACAGATGCCCTCAAGCCTCATTTGATAGAAAATAGTTGGTCCTGTTCGGCCCTGGGGGAACAAATAATGTTCTCCGTGTCGTTGCTGCCCTGGATCCTGACAAATACATGACAAGATAAAAAGAAAGGGATGAGATAAGCACCTCGTTTAGACATGTGACCAAAATGTTGATGCAAAATGTTCAGTAAATTAGAAAAATCCTCACAGGATTAAGTATTAAATATTATTTAACATTAGCATTTTTTGTTGGATAAAGTCGGTTAGCTGTGGTGGTGGGGGGGGGATCTTTATTTTAGTTGACTTCAAAAGTTAATCAATTGTAAACATCTATTAAGTTTCATTAAAATCTAGTGGTTTATGTGATATTTTGCTAACAGATTAGCAGGGTTGACTCCAACAGTTTTTCATTCGACCTTTATTTCTAGAGGTTAGTGTCATTGAGCGTCGAGGACTCGTTTACAAGAGACACCTGGTTTAACAAAGAACAACAGTGGACAGTCATAAAGGATGCAAACAAATTGAGAATAACAAGTGAAAATAAAATGGTATTACGAAAATGTAACAAAAAACAGCTGGATCGAAAGGTGATGTAGAAAACTAAAACCAGGAACTTATCAGATGTTTGAAGCCACTTAGAGAGGTCAAAGGTTGAGAGCTTCAGGTCTTTTTACAAGATGTTCCAGGAAACAGGAGCAGAGTAGGAGAAGGTCCTTTTGTCTAGTTCAGTCCTCACTGAGGGGACACTGCAGGTAATGATGTCCTGAGAGCGCACGCTGTAGCTGCACTCACACAGAGATATGTAGGAGGAGATGTATGAAGGCAGCAGACCAGGAAGTGATTTAAAGATGAAGATGTACCAGTGAGAGAGTCTGTGTGAAGTTAATGGTGACCAGTTAACCAGTGAATACTGGGAGCAGTGGTGGGTACGGTAGTTACAGCCAGTTATGTTATTTAACATGTATTGTGAATGACTCTCAGCTACTACCACATCAACTTTTAGCACAACATCTCTAAAACTGACTGAGTTATAGTCGGGTTGTAGCTTTGAACTATAGTCGACTGCAGCAGCCATCTTTAATTTGATTGGCTCCAAAGGTTATTCAGTTGTAGATGCACATCCAGTGATTACGTTTTGCAAGTGTCATTAAAATTCATTTAGACCAGTTAGGTCTAATTCCATCTTGTGCATTTTATCACCACTCTTTTATAGATATTTTAAATTGTATACACGTTTTCTCTTAAATGGAATTAATCATTCTTTACCCTCTTATAAACAGTAGTGGCAGTTTTTAGTCTATCAGTTAAGCCTATCGTTTGTATATCGAAAGATTCATCACCTCCTCTAAATACCTGTAGCTACCGGCTCACATGACACTCACAGGAAACACGGCGCTCTCATCCATTGGTCTCTGCGGTAACACCAATCTTTTCTTCATTATTGTAGAGAGAAATGGTGTATTCCTCCCGCGAATCCTCCCCAACGCGCCGCCTCAACACCCTTCCATCCTCCACGGCCTCGGCGTCCTCTGGCTCTCCGTCCCGCTCGCGCCTTTCATATAGCGGGGGCCGTCCTCCATCCTTGTCTGGGAACCATCCCCAGCATGAGCAGCCAAGACATTCGCACCATCCTCCAACTGGCCACGGTGCCAACATGGGGCTGTCTCCTTCACCCAGTGCCATTTTGGAGCGCCGTGACGTCAAGCCTGATGAAGAAGTTTCTGCTAAGAAGTTGGCTCTGATGAAAAACGAGAGCCTCTATGCAGATCCTTACAGTTTGATGAACGAGGGTCGCCTCAGTATTGCCTCCACCCAGTCACTGGCTGCCATCGGGGACCCCTTCAGCTACCCTGTTACCACTGGGCTGTACCGCCGTGGCTCTGTTCGGTCCCTCAGCACCTACTCAGCTGCTGCTCTTCAAGGAGACCTGGAGGACTCGTTCTACAAGCCTGGAGGCTCACTTTACTCCGACACCTATTCCTCTGCCACCCTGGGCATGGGTTTCCGCATGCCGCCCTCATCTCCACAAAAAATCCCAGACTTGCAGCTGAGGGACTCTTACTCCAGCTCACCAAGGCCCTCACCCGTCAGGCAGACTTTCCGCAAAGACTCTACTTCCTCCTCAGTGTTTGTGGAGAGCCCGAAGTCCAGGCCCAGCTCTGGGTCAGACCCTTTGTGTCTTATAGGTGTACCAGGAGAAGGAAACAGATCCACACCTGGCTTTGGTTCTTTATCTGGACAAGATGGAGACACAAGCAGGTCAGTGGTTGCCTAGGTGACAATTTTCTTACAGTATCATTTAGAGCCTTGGGTCCTACAGCATTTATAAACCATCTGTTCCTGTGAGCATCGACTGGTCTGCTGTAATTTCCAGTATGTGCATAAAGATAGTTATTTTTTTCCTCTGAGATCTCTGCATTTATTTTGTTTAAACTAAAACAGAATTATGTGACAGAACAAAAACAAAAGAAATTTTAATTTGATTATTATTTAATTAGATTTCTCTCTCTATTTGTTATTTAAATGTTCTAACCCGTGTCTGTATATATTTCAGGGATCATCGGCTGGAGCGTATGGAGGCCATGGAAAAACAAATAGCCAGCCTGACGGGCCTCGTCCAGAGTGTGCTGACCAGAGCGCCAGACAGTGACAGCACGTAAGACGCTCTATTATTCCCCATTAACCCTCGAAAAGTCTCAAATGCAGCTCCGGCTTTGAGGCACGGGCAGCGTATTGACAGGAACAGTTGCAGGCTATTATCAGAGCCATTATCAGCTCCACAGCTGTGAAGTGCTGCACTAGCTTGCTCGAGCACAGCACAAGTAGAGACCACTAAACATCAGCTGCAGGCGACAGAGCTATTGATTTGTTGCTTGATTCAAGAGTTTCTTACCTTCACCACGTCGAGCTCTTTTCCTCCATGTATATAACAGGGCTTCATTAACTGGATGATAACTTGCTAATGTCAGCAGTCTTCTAGTGTTGGGTAGTGGTGCTGTTCGCATTAGCACTGTAATTGCCTTGCCCTGTGGCCGTTGATCCTCAGATGCGGCCTACTGCGTCTCTGCATGATGGCGGGCTGCCCTCCGGACCAAGGGACGGAGTTTTCACGGCCATTACCTTTCTCTTCCAGCGAGAAGACCGAAACTAACAGTGACGGCTCGGCCACTGGAAGTGAGTACTGCGAGTAATTGAGACCTGTGTGTCCAAGTGTCACTAACACTCCTGTTCCTGCTCCTGTCCTTGTGCCGTTAGGAAATTATTTAACCATTTCATGTTCCTACTAACACTGCACTTAAACCCCCTATTCTGAGATGATCAGGGCTTGGAGACTGGGAGGGCGGACAACACGTAAAGCTGTTATCTTTATTACATGAGTTAGTTAGCTGCTTATTGTTGCTGACATTTTATTTTGTTTCTGTACAGACCGAGAGAATTACTGACTCATTCATTCACATTTTATTTTGGGCACAATCGTGATTTTTAACTAAAAAACAAGTAGCAGGAAGAAAGTAGATTTACAGTCTTGCTAAAAATAAACAGCCCAGATCCATCCATCCATCCATCCATGCATCCATGCATCCATCCATCCATCCATCCATTATCTTTACTGTGTTTTCCATTTCGGGTCGTGGGGGTCACTGGTGCCCATGTCCAGCAATCACTGTGCAAGAGGCGGGGGACACCCTGGACAGGTCTCCAGTCCATTACAGAGACACATAGAGACAAACGAGACAAACAACCAAAAAATTTAAAAAATAAAAAAATGAGTTCGTATCAAATCCTTTCCTGATTCTGTTAAAGTTGAAAACAAAAAACCCTTTGGAATTTTTTAGACATTTATGTAAATCATTCAATAATTGTAAAAATTATTGATTTGTTTTTGTACAAAAATCATTGCACTTGCTTCAGAAAAGAGACTTAGTCTCTGATATGTAAAACTAAGTGTAGTCCCTCGTTTTATCGCAGGGGATCCGTATCCTGAAGCCCGCGATAAGTGAAAAAATGCAACGTTGGAATAATAGTACAAGTACTAG